CAGTGTGGCGACAGCAGGAGCAGTGACAAAAAAGTGGTTTAATAATTAGGAAGCCTAGGTGGTTTCTTAAGGCAGGCCTTTAGCTGCTTGTTTAAGGACCTTCTGCTCCAGTCGTGAGTCGTATCTGAAGAGTTAGATAAATTGCCGACAAATGCAAAACCGAAAGTGTGTCCGGATTGCCTAAATGGTGTTGAAATGGCAATTGAATCATTTCACTGCTGCCAATTTATTTGTGGTAGCTTGAAATGTGTGGAATGACCTGGCCTCTTTTTCCCTTCGCCATAGCTATTTACCGGTTAATCACTATCCTCCGCCTCAGCATCAGCTCAGCGCCATCTCTCCTGTGGTGTACGGCTGGCTCATCTGTGTGACCGATGCTATTACAATTGCCTTATAATAGAGAACTGCATACCTCAATCATCCATCAACCGACCACACCTGTACTTCATTCCACTGGTCGATGATACCGCGGGCTCCAATTTCCTGCTTACCCTAGCAGCAGCCTCTTTACCCCGATGATTTGCAGCTGGGGTTCAATTTTCTGTCAGAATAATTGTCAGCTCACCTTCTTGTTAGCTACTGGAATATGATTCAAAATGAATACATCTGCTGTTTCTAGAGCACCTCTTTTAATCTTAGCGCGATTAATAGGCATAGGCGAGGTCTGTTCCATGCAACATGTAGGTAAAGCACTTAAAGGTGGAATCCCGCCACTTACAGCGTCCTAATTCACATAGGTAACAAGCACCTCAGAAGCGTAATATCATGGCCTTTTTTTGAGCCGTCTATACTAAATAGAGTTGCCTTGACCACTTCGGAATCTCTGGTAGTCTTCTGAACATTTTTTGCTTTATCGGAAGTGAAAGCTTGACTTGGCTGCCAGTTAAAGCAACGCCTATCCAGGAAGTGGAAGTAGGAGGAGACTTTCGTACAGGAGACTGATTGGAGGGCCTCCAGAAGAACTAGTTCATGTCAGTCTTTGCTCTGGTCATGAGTACCTTCGGCCTCTATGTGATGCAGGCTTGAGTCAAAGCTAAGGCAGCGACTCAGCGTAAGAGGTACTAGTGGGTGAGTCCACTTCTGCTTCGTCCAATTTTACTGTATTACTTTATGTCTTGTGCATCCTGATTCCCTCCGTTAACTTCCGCCCATTATATATGCATCTACTGCATAGTCAACATTTCCTCCCCACTGCTATCTGGCCTTCTCTTCATCCATCCTTATCCATCCATTCACCTTTTTTTAATCTGTCCGCCTGACCTAATTTTTCCATTCGATGGTATTCAACGTTTCAGCACTAATCTGTCTATCCTACATCCACGTATTTACCTCACATCCAAGCAGCATGTATTTTACTCGACTCTATCTATCCACCTTGGATTAGTCTAGCCGTCCCACTATGAAATTTCCCTTCACGCAATCCATGGTCACCCACCTGGGAGCCTTAAATGCATAAATGTATCCTTGCTTCATCTATCCGTACATTCCTGATTTATTCACTCTCGACGCATGCATCTTCTTTTCCATTGGTAGACTGCACACTTGCCACGCTGGTGGTCGAACTTGGCTCCGCTTCCCAGCCAAATGAAACCTGGCTTCTACTCTCCTTTTTCCTTTTAACTTCTTTACTATATACTTGGCGCAACTGACCATGTAGCGCGCTGTGTGGTGGGGTGCGATGTAGTATCATACAGCGAGGTTCACTTCCGTGCGACAATGTACGATGCGATAGGACAGGATAACATTGTCACGTGAAAGGTTGTGATAAGTTAGGATACGACACGATGCCATACGGTGTAGCGTATTGGCATTGGTGGGTGTAGTGGATGTTATTCTGCTGCAGTCATGCTCAAGTTGTGGAGAGAAGGGAGTCATAAGCTGCCCACTTGGCTGAAAAGTGGTCATTTTAGTTTATTATAGTGAAAAAGTGCCAATTGTCAGTGTGATCATCAACTATTTAACCAGTTAATTCTAAGTTATCAGGTGCTTTCCCACATTTTAACTGCAGAAAGGGAGGAAAGGAAAATATGCACTGGTTTTGAGCTGCTTAAGGCTGCAACTGATACTGCTAACCAAAGCAGAACAATGTCCTTTATCAAACGCTATACCTCAAAGTGAATTACTGTGGGTAATTTTATGCACCTGTTAGAGTTCTATTCTTCTACCGGAGTTGTAAAAGCAGTATTCTTCTTGGCACAATTATAAAAACTTCATTGGGACAGCACTATAAAAGATATAATCCGACAGCAATCAAGGGACGGCGTTGACGTGGCTTCACTGGTCCTCCAGAAGTGAGATATCATCGATACAGACATCAGCAGAGGAAAGGCTTTCCTTCTATAACGCGTAGGGGTTAGTAGGCTGCCGCACAAAGATAAGAAATACTGTCCTTTTAGCCCAATCTTACATGCTGCTGCTAGCATAGTAAATCTCCCTTTTATTACCTTGTCTTTAGTGTCAGATGCCTTCTTTGCTTTTCGCTACCAAATCCTATCCATTGTGAACCCTCGTATATCATTCATGGCAATCAAGGAGAACTGGGCCCCAATTTTGCAACATCAGTATTCAACCTCAACTCTGTAAAGGCATTTGCGCCAAGCTGATGCAGTTAAAGACACGAATGTGGCTTATCATGTCCAAGCATGAGTTCAGTAAGTAGGTGCTTGCGCACATATGGATGGAGTTTGAAGTAGAAACATTGCAACTGCAGTTGAGTTTTATTCAGTGCAATTATGTTACGTTTATTCGGTGGATGAGTAAAACTATTTCTGAGTAAAAACACTTCAGCTAGTTAAAGAAAAAATGTTTTTTTTTGGTCTTTGAGTAGGCATTAAACTAGATCTGGAGGATGTGCAGATGTTGCAAGGCTATCTCATAACACTGACACCTTTGTTAAACACTGGGGTTATTACTGAGCCAGGTTGAGTGAGATTTCACAAGGTTAATACCAAAAATAATATGATTATTCATTCTTACTCGTTGGTTTTGCATGCCCAGTCCACCCAACGATTACATAAAGAAAGGTGCCGTTTCCTAATTCAAGCGAAATATGACGCAACGGGGTTTTCGGAGGTGAAGGATTCTCACCCCTACATCAACCAAAAGAATCACGCTATCCGCATTTGATCGGTTGACGATTTTGAAACTATTATCCTTTTTCATGTGTTTCTATGTTTATCCGAACCAAAAGACCATCGTCACCAAACAGCACCAATAAACAGGCAAGAAGTATTGCATGACAAATTTGGTAATAGCTTCAACAGTTAATCTCCGGTTTGGCACATCCGATCCGAGAACAGTAATATCCAATGACTGGGCAACAGAGCACAATTAACGGTGATCTCTCAAATTTTGTGCACTTGTGGCTTACTCAGGTTATACCTAACAAAAGGCTACCAATTTTTGGCAATGTGCCTCCTCGGCACTACCAAACATTACACTCCATTCTTCTTGCTTCCCAAAAAAAATCCTTCTAAAAAGAGTCCTAATTATATAATCCATCAACTCGTGACACCTCCGCATGGCACGACTACAGTTTAAACCAACATTCGTAAAATAGATTTTGTGTTTAAATCCGCATCTAGACACGAGTTGGCTAGTCTTGCCTGGTAAATCTTTCCTTCTCAACGGTCACAATGCGAAAGTAGGGACACAGAAGATAAGTGTTTTCCCAAGTCAGTTGGATTACCACCATAACATCGTATCAACTATCAAGGATACAAATTTGACGTTCCACGTTTTATGTCCAATCTCGATATAACACGGTATGCTGCATAATCACTTGATACCAAACACATCTTCACTCAACTGTAAATCGTGGGTGACTTGAAACCAAATCTAATTACTCTAATGTTTTAACGCTAACTCAGCGCAAATTAGTAAGCTACTTCTTGTCTGTGGCTGAAATTTTGACCAAGTATTAACTGCTAAAAGTGTGATATGGGCAGCTGCGCTAAGCCATTTTACGGCCACCGTAGACTTATTCTCGACTGCCTTCAAACGAATGACGCGAAATGCCCAAAATGTTTCCTAGCTCCAACAATTTAATTGGTAAGAGGAAATAGTTTACTCGTGATGTCGCGACAAACCGTAATTAGCAAAAAACTTGATCCTAGCTTACATTAACACTTCTATTGACCAGGTGCGTCATGACAACCTGGAAACTGGATGGAAGGTTTGTCAAACGGTCCCAGCGTCAAAGGACTGTGGTGCCAACTGTCCCATTTGACAGAAGAAGGTAAGAAATTCTTTGCATCCAACCCTAGCATTTGTATACCTTCTTATCCAGATCATTTTGGAAA